TTATAGCATAGAAAGTTTATAAACTGATATAAATTATTTGTAAATTGTACCACGTTATATAAGATCATAAATTTAATGAAAATTAATCAACTTTCCCATATCATCAAATTAACAACTTATCTTGTAACTTCATTAAATGTGCCTATATTATAATTAAAGTATGAATATTCAAACAAATATAATTTTTACAATATATTTCTTGTCTCTTTACGTAATTTAAAATATCATTTTTATTTGCACTAAAAAATGATAAAATTGGAGAAATGTAATAAAAACGGTTCTCAATGCAAAGCACAGGTAAAGGTACTTTGTTCATCTGCGAGCAACATATTTTCACTGAAAAACCTATTTAGTAAGTACTTAATAAACTTCATCAAGAGATAAAAAGTGCTGGGAACAGAAACGAAGCTTCAGAACTGAATTAAAAGTAAACGATTGAGTTTTTAATAACGTCTATTGATTTCTCTTCGAATACCTCTCGAAATATCATCGTTGACAGACCTTTTAACAGAATAACCAATCAATATTCCTCGGTACGACGAAATCACATCAAACTCCACGAAGATTATCTTTGTTGACGATAAAATTCTTCGTCAATTTCAAGAGAGATAGGTTACCTATCTCTATCGAAGAAAAATTATTCGCAAAAGTAAAGACCTTCCATTATTTTCATATTTTCAAGCACGTACTCTTTAAGATTGTGCTCAAGAGTGTTTATCCCTTGCCTGCACTCGATCAAACTAACCCAAATACGTCTACACGTCTAGTAAATATTCTGATGGAATATAAAAACCTGAATAACGAAATATTAAATAAATTTTAATTGTCCTTTCCATTTGGTTGAAAAATAACAAACGGACGATACTTTGAAAAAAGCCTTTTTTTCACAGTAAATAAAGTCTCTTATTTACGTATTGTCAGATAAAAATAAAAATATAAAAAAAATCCTGTATCAAATAATAGACAACATAGATTTATTTAATATTTCGTTGTTCAAACTTTCACCTATACTATAATACACTCTCCATTGCTATTATATTTGTTTTTAAAAAAAATTTTTATAAAAAAAGATGCTTTCGTTATTTAGAAATTAATTCCTAAAAATGGATTTCGTTTTAACTTGCAAAAGCAATTTAATTTTTATTATGATATAGAATTATTATGCAACAGAATTTCATCCATGTTAATATACATTTTATCGAATCATCACTAAGTAATTAATTCAATCTACACGAATTCCGAACACATCAAAGCTCATCAAAATACATTTAGCAAACACGAATGGTACATGTAGGATACACACCCGCATGTGTGCAACTAAATGTAACGTAAATATTCGAACAGTGTTAACGTATATGTTGTAGACAATCTAAACAGTTTCCCTAATACGTGCACATGACTACATTTCATTCCGTTCCAAATTACCAAAATAGACAGTTCTGATACTGAATTGTACGAATTCTAATGAACAAACGTACCCTTCTTTTTTGTGATTAGAAATTTTAACAGTAAATAATATTGTGTTATTTTTTAGAGATATGAGCCAGGTCCAGAAACTAAATTCGCAAAATTCTATTTCTATAAAATGCATAACAATTTTTGCCATTCTTATGAAAATCTTTTAATTCTTTTGCAGCAGAATTTAAGCAATTTTAAAATAAAATATATAAAAAGCTCACAAATTTAAATAGCAGCATAATTGATCGTTTAAATCATATTTGTTATAATTTGTCGACCCCTCTCCGGTAAAATTCGGATAGTTTGAAAATAAAATACGCAAAAAAAGTCAGAATTTAATTGCCAATCTAACGTATTAATTACCGACAAATTAGCATGTACGTACCACGCCACTAACAAAACCACTTTATCCGAAGCAAAAGAAGGTTTTACCCGAGCAGAGCTCGATGGTCATGAAACATTTAATTACACGTTTCTTCCGGTGTATATTTCAAACGAATTCAAACATCGAACAATAAAATGAAACGCAAGTCTCGTTTAATTAGCATAACGGTTAATTAGGGTCGATATATGCAAGCGGTTCATCGTCGAACAAAGATTCAGTGAAATATGCTTGACCTTTTTTTTTCAACGAGATATGTTTCTCCGAGGCAATCGTTTCATTCCCGCAAATAACAAGAAAATACTTCAAATGCTTGAAACAGAAATTACCTATACACAGAAATCTGTTGAATACACAAACGGATATATGTATATCCGTGTATTGGTACACGACAAAAAGCAATTTACTTGTTTCTCCGAGCGACTGGCAAATTTCCCTCAGACATTTCCAAGGGAATACTTTTTAAATTGTTTGTCATCCACTTTGGACGAGATTATATAGTATCATCCCTTCGTCCCTTGTTTCGATTTCACGTGGACGAAATTAGAAGGAAAAATGGTAACAGAGAAATACGATGCCCCGTTGTGTAATTAGAATGATGCACAGAGACTGACACGATACACAATGGACAACTGATTGCGAATCAGCGAATTGGTAACGCGATTCAAACTGTCGATTCTGCGGAAATAGTGGCTAAAAGATGTCGGAAAGTTGTCGTCGTTTATTATTAATTTGGGGCAAATTGATGTAATCATTAATATTTTAAGGAAGAATAAAATAAAATAATATTTAGAAGTATATAGGATGTCCTATGCTACTAAGACCAGCATTTAATTCTTCTTTAAATAAAGATGATTTTTTAGGACCATTATTTCATTTAAGCACCATTTTATTAAATTAGTACTTAAATTATAAAATAATAAAAAATCACATAAATTTTTAAATAATAACAATACCAATTACTGAATGTTTAATTCAAAGACTGTCAGGGGTACTACTAGACAGACCTACCAATTTAAGGTCGATCGTTAGCCTGTATGTACCATGGAATGGGAAGTCTGGGGGATGATGAATTGAAACTCTCTTGTTTGCGAAACAAGATGGTCACTTTACACGCACCTGTCGAACGCACATCTCTGGCTCTAGATCAAAGTTTCGGCTGTTAGTCCTGAACCCCCAGGTAGACCTAAACGTGGTGTTGGTTTCGAAGTAACATGGCTACTTCAGAGACATTGACAACTAAGCTGTTAATGTACGATTAACTAAGCTGTTATATATTATTAAAGCTAAAATCCTATACTTATATAAGCAGCTTAATAAATTTCTAAGCATAAAAAATACTGACACTATATTGGTACTTGCTATCTTGTAGAAAAATTGATTAATTTTTTTCCCGATCATTTGCCAAATATTTTGAGGTACATTCGCGACCAAGTCAGGTTTTAGGGAAATTGATGACATAAGGGAAATAGGACTTCTCAAAATCTTAATTTTGACGACATTAATATTAAAAGTAATTTAGAATAAAAATGATATCATTGTTAATTAGTAAACATTATAAAATTTAGCAAGTGCACGAATACAAATATTTCTAATTACGTAACCAAGAGAATTATTTATATCATAAATGATGCTTTTCTATACAAATGACAGCATTTCTATTTATTATGAAAGAATGAATTAATTATATTCATTTGCTCAAACACATATGCCCAGTGCTGTACATTTCATTTCAACTTAATTACCTATATGTATGCAAATTCATTGCTATAATTGCACTGTGTACAATGCTTTCACAATTATTCCTAGAAACTGAGTTCCAACATTAATAAAATAATCTAATGCCACGCATATAGAGCAATTCAAAACAATTAGTAGAAGCAATTAGTTGAACTTTACACAATCAATTTAGCGATTTCTAACGTAATGGTAATAAATAAATACCGACTTATTAATTTCACATTTATCCCCGATAATTAAAGCGTTTCAACGTTCGTTCGAGAAAATTCGAAGCTGTTCGTTCGAAAATTGTAGCTCATAAACGAGCTTATAGCTGCCGCTTATCACAGACAAACGAGCTGTGCTTCTTCTTCTCTTACGTCCTACTTTTCGTCGTAGTTTCCGGTCCGGAGAACATTTCTTCGAAACATATATATCTGTATAATGAAACATTGCAAACGATCGTGTAGAAGGTATACCGCAAAACTCTGACTGGTCTTCTTTAATTGCCGCAAGATATACGATATACTTCCTCGCCTTTTTGCTCGATCAAACAAATTTCGCGGGTTGGCGAAAATTATGAAAGCAAACGGCGAAAACGTCCACCGATAATTTACGACCAGCCACCGGAACAGTGAGAAATTTTCAACGTTTCTGTTTTCTAGCAAGTAACTTTCGAGCAATGAAAGATGGCCCCGCTCTTAGGAACTGAAGTGATCACGAGGCGCTTGGGAAATCACGAAAACAATTCGCGCTACTCGGAGTAAAATGGATCGTCTAGGCAAGGAACGAACGCTTTGTATCTCGTTGTCATTGTACGATAAGTTGAAACGTGGATTGTCGACGGTTCCGAAAATCTCTCGTAGAAAGGGCGACTTTATTGTTCGTAAATAACCGCTTTCAACGAGAGACGCCTCTTGCCAGAAATCACTCGCGAAATTTCCCGATAAACGAGAACACCCACGTTTGTTCCAGCCCCTCTCTCGACTTTTTTTTTATCCCTCCCCGCTTCATTTCTCTTCATGTTAATCAGACTTTTCTGCTTCGACCCTTTCCTTAATAAACGTTGGGTTAATACAATTGGGTTATTAATTTAGCAATTGTACGTTCGTATGCTCATGGTGTTTAGACTGTTTCAATCTCTGGGCGTGTAATCATACTTATACATAGTTAAAGGTGTACCAGCACCCGAAATTACGGGCTCGAAAAAATTTGGGCGAGCTCGGAAAGTAAAAAAGAGAAGAATCAACGGCTATGTTAAAATGGAAATTCGATGAATTTTTAGTGAATTAGAATTGAAAGATTCTAATAAACAAGATTGCTCTCCAAGATACTCTCAATATTACATCGTCTGATTTTATAAAATGCGTCGAATATTATGAGGAATATTTCAGAAAATTGCAATTGTTTTTTGCAAACATTTGCTAAATTTCTTTTTCAGATTCTGCGCAGCTTAAACACGAGAATAGAAAAAGAATTAAATGGAATCATAAATAGAAAATCAAATACTGTCTTTCAGCTTGAATCAATGTATCGTAAAATTAAAGTAAACTGAAAGTTAAGAAAGTAATCGAAACTGCCAACCAGAATCAAAAATCTTCGAGGAACGAAGAAAGAAATAATGAATCAAACGACAAAGTAACGAGCTTTTTAACGTTTCGAAGAATTTACACCGATTAACTGTGCTGTTTCGAGTCAATATTTACACTCTATATCTAAACGACTAAAACGAATTATACATAAGAAGAAATAGTATTTTAAGAGAAATAAAAGTAGATTCTTGAGATAACTTCAATGATAAACGAAAGAAATACAGAAACACGATAGAAATCTCTTGTACAAACACGCCATTTCGATGCAACAAGCAACCAAGAATTACAGGAAAAAAGAAAGGCAATAGGAAAACAATCTTCTTCCCGGCAATCCTGCTGCGTTGTCTCATGACAAGGAAAGTACCGACTGAAAATAGTATCACACTGAAATCAAGATATTTCTGGCGGTTTGTTTTCCAACGAAGATTTATAAAGCAGAACGGAGATCGCGACAAAGAGACGCAATTAAAAAGATTACATTCGCCATCACGCATTCCCTTTCGAGAGCGCGTAGAAATGAGAAAGACGAGAGTTGCGCTTGAGAAAACCTTACGTCTACGTTAAATGTATAAAGTTTTCACGTAAAACTGCAATTTATCAACGAACACCGAGCGTCCAGTAAAACATATTCCCAAAGGAAACGCTAGCCATTTGAAGAAGTAATCGCTGAAGTAATCCATGTAACGCTTAGAACTGTTAAAATAAAAAATAAGAAATAAAGAAAAAGAACGGCCTAAAGGAAAAGGACATCAGCGTCAACGTTTCCATGCCTCGAGTCGACTTATGTTAGCGAAATCCATCAAGCGGATAAACGCGATCCTAGGCGATTGCGTTCAAAGGAGAGTCTAAATTTCCAAGGATAGTTGGTTGGCAAGTCGTCACGGTGTGCGGATTGGGGCGAATCCTCGGCTACATCGGCGGACGACCGTCGGTGGGGGCCGCCAGCATGTCTCAGTCCGGGTCAGGAGGGGTAGACGGTAATCAGGAGCAAAATCAAGTCGGTCAAACGATGGAGAACCAACAGACAACGTGTCAGAACGGTCGGGCCGAACCACCGGCCGATAATGCTAAACAAGATTTGTCGAATGGCTTTGAGAATCGGACGATCGAGTACGAGAGATTCTCTCAGGACAGATCGCAACAGAATCCGGCAGCCGGTCAGAACCAAGAACAGCAGCAACAACAGCAACAGCAGGCAGGTCAATATCCGACTGGAAGGAAGCAATCCGTGGTCGGAGTGCCCGAAGATAGACATCCCCCGACTGGACAACTTCCGCCTCAGCAGTACGCTCAAGAAAAAGCTGCTCTCGAGAGGATGCAACACGTCTCGCAAACGAGCACTCAAACTTTACCTGTGCAAGCGCAACCACAGTTCGTGCCCGATTACGATCAGACCCAGTACGCGCAGATACGAAGTCAGTTTGAGGTTAGACCGCAGATGTATCCTCAACAGACGTCGTACGCCGAGAGGGCTGGTTACGTGACCAGAGACGTCACGTACAGAGACCCAGCGTTGTATCAAGGAGGAACAGCGAATCCCGTGTTCGCTGGTCAAGGCCAGTACGTAACAGTGCAACATGGAACGCAGATACCATCTCAGTCGGCTAGTCCGCAGCCGCCTTATTTCTCAGGGGTAGTGGTGCCTCAAGGATCCGGGTACGTCCAGTTCAGCGCGCAACCCCAGTATTCCTACAGCCAGTACCCTCAAACAGTGATGAACGCAGTTCCCTACAACCCTCATGCGGGGATCTACCAAACTCAACAGTTTGGTCAGCAATCGCCTAATCCGCAGAGATTCTCCCAGGAACTGGGCCAGTACCAAACTCAGCCGATCATTCAGCCGATCGCTCAGAACGTGGGTCACGGAATCGCGATGGCGACCACTGAACGACCAAGCCGAGGGCCGAAACCCATGGTACCTCCACGTGGCAACTCGAAAATCACCCACGACACGGGTCACCGAAAATCGGCGAGCGTGGACGTGCCTGGCATGCAGAAGCCCAAGTACGATCCTAATCAGAACCTGCCGCAGGAACAGATTCATCGCAGCGACGGAGCAATCATCGTGCAAGGGACGCAGATTGTCTCCGATGGCCAGGATCGCAGATACCTGACGGCCATTAATCAAAATCCCAGAACCAGACAGGACGGTTTATACGTGGACACGAACGGTGATCCAGCCGGACGAGAGAAGATGTGCGAGGCGGTTGCCGCCGACTGCGGCCTCTATATGTCCAGGCCTGAGCACAGAAAGTCTATATCCGTGGACGTAACGTCGAGCTTTCCACGGCGAAACGACACCATTACCTTCACGTTTCCCGGCGATACCGGTCAAGAGATATTGGTGCCAGTGAGAAAGGCCGGGACTATGGTGGATCCGAAACGAGTGGAAGCCAATCAAGTGTACCCGCCTGATCAAAGGCGGTTGGATACGAGCCTGAGAGTATCGCCGATGGCTTTCGATACGAGACAGGAAAATAGGAAGAGTATGGGGACTGATAGAAAGGCCGAATGGGGTAACGTGAGCCCTAATCAAAGAGTCGCGATGCCGCAAGAAAACAGACGATCCGATTACTTCGAAGAGCATAGGAGATCACCGATGACCATAGAGGGGAAAAGAATGGAGGACGTTAGAAGATCACCGATGCCGTTCATGCCGATCAGAGAAGGTTCCGTGGATCGCGCCGGACAAAAAAGTCCGTCGTTTGTGAATCAAAATTTCGAGAAGACCAGACAGGAGCTGGCCATGTGGGCCGAGCAGAAGCAGCGTCAGGAACACGAGAGAAACATGATGCAGAGTCAGTTGCTCTCGACCAGTCCACGTTCCCGCAATCATTCGGAGGAGAGAAGAGATCCAAGACCCATGCACCAGCAGGAGGAGCGTAAGGAAACTAGAATGACCCAATCGGCCTTCCAACCGATGCCTAATATCAGTCAAAGCACCATAATGGAACAGAGACGTCATTTGAGACACGTCAGTGCCGATTTAACTAAACACATGGAGTTGTCCAGAAAGGAGTTCGATGATCAACCTATCAGCGGATCTGTGGCCAATCTTGGCCCACCAGTTAGCACCGTTCCGTCGCAGAGAGCTAGCCCTAATATATGTCACCAATACCCAGCTCTCAGCGAGGCGAAGTTAGACACCAAAACTGTTCTAACAGTGGTGACGGATTTCGGTGAATCGAGCTTGAACAAACCTATCGATCAAGTGGATCATATAATTCATAGTCATCGCAAGAGCCACAATGTATCTAACAATTTACTAACCCACAGCAAGAGTCAAACGGATAATCTTCAGGGTCAACTCGAGGCACAAAACGAGAAATCTGACGTGCATCAAATACAACAGCAACAACAAATGCAGAATCAACAAAGCCTGGATTTGATTTCGGAGAAGCTTAGTCAATTCGAACGTCAACAGAGCGATCTTCAAGCGAAGCTACACTGTCTCCATAATCAAAACCAGATCCTCGATAAGGTAGCCCAGTTTCAGCATCAACAGAGCGACTTGCAGGCCCGTCTGCAGAGCCTGCAAACGCAGAATCAATTGTGCGATAAACTGCAAAGATCCACGGATTTCCAACAACATTCAGTCGGCAACGAGATCCATCAGATGCAATCGAATTCCCTGTCGAACCACCAGGAACAACCGTGCGATAAGACCTGCCCGTCGTCGCAAAGCCAGCACGCGTCCCATGGACATCATCAAACGTTATTGACCGCCGCCTATGCACAGAACTCTAATCATCAATCCTGCCAATCGTCTGTCTGCGAGAAGCTATCGCCTAGGCTTCAACACGACACCAGCGAGCCGAATTCTATTCAGATACCGAACATGTCACAGATGCCATTGCCGTGTCTCCCGCAATTCGAACGTACAGACACGTCGCGTGCCTCGTTCTCGCAGTTTCATCGACTTCAGTGTCAGATCGAAGGACACGAGGCCGTTCCCGCGACTTCTTTCACCGGAACCTTGAAGAAAGTTCCTCCGGAAAAACCGCCGAGAACTTCGCTGATCGTACAGTCGCCCGAATCGGAGGTAAGATACTCAATGATGATCACGTGCACGTTTCTGGTAGAGATTTTTTATGTCTTTTCTGTCTTTTCGTTTGCATAACCATAATGGCATGTGTGTTCATTTTGGAATCGATTAAAGGATGTTTAGATTCTTTATAATAATTTTATTTTCGTTGAGTTTTTATCTGGAGGAGTGTGAAATCTTGAAAATTTTGGGTACTCGATACTTGGGTTCTCCAGAGTATAGAAAAAAGAAGTGTATCTGATTCATTCTGAGTCGATGAGAAAAATTTCCAACCCATTCCGAGTATAGGGTACTCGAAATTTTCGCGTTTTCGCACGTCTATACTTTTGAGAACTCGATCGAATCCGACCCCAATAAGTCCTACTCGATCTAGCCCGAACAATTTCGTCCCGACCTGACCCAAACAATTCCTATCTGACCCGACCTTATATTTTCGGGTCCTCGCACATCTCCACTTTCATCGTTCAACAAATCTTTGAAATACAGAGAATAGAAAACTTCAAACGAAGTAATTTCAACTCGAAAGTAAGTTTCATCATGGAATATACACCCAGTTGTGGATAAAGAGAAAACTGAGTCAACTGGTATAAAACAAACGCAAGATCCGCGAAAAGAAACAGTCGAACGGTCAAAGCGCAGTACTGTTTTCCAATAATTCTTTATAAAATTATAATCCATGAAGCTTGCAGGAGAAAATGCATGGATGAGGCTGTTTCGTGTTTTCTAGACTGCTCACTGGAATGGATGAAGGGTGAGAGGCGAAGATAGAAGGGTGACTCGGGCAGAAAGGGTGGCAGATAGAGATCTCCACTTGCAGTTTTTGCCGTGGCAGCTGAGTGGAATGAACTCGTTAGATATCAGACTCGATGTTGTCTTTGAAAACTTCGTTACGAAGCCTGTGTACCTTTCACTCTACTTCCATGCTCGGTCTTTTCGTTCGGGCAACTTTGTTCCTGCTAGAAAACTACCACGACCGTCCTCGGTACGACATCACCTCGATCCTACGTGCCTGTGTTTCGAATGTTCAATTCCCAGATTTCCTGGCTATAGAACTGCTTCTTATTTAAGTTGCTTTCGAAATAATGTGCTTCGTGGAATATATATTGTTTGCTCTTCCTCAATTATCAAAATAACATTTGATTACTCTGAACTGACAGAGTACACCGAAAAATCTCAAACAGTATTAACTAATTTGTGAAAGTATCGAAATTCTAATTTGAATAATTAAGATTAAAATAATTTTCTAGAATTTTATTCAGATCATTGTTGCCTTTAGACTATGATTTTTTGGAAAAGATGATCTCAAGTAAACGAATTAAAAAAGTAAAAAAAAAATATTTCTATAAATTCGCGTATTTTCCAAAAGTTGTTAGAAATTCTTACATAAAATCTGACCTCAAAGATTTTAAAGATACTACAATCACTTCTCATTAAAGGAAATATTTGCCTTCCACTTTTACGTCTTTCAACCTCAATGTTTCAAGAAATATCTCCAACCACTGTACCACAGTCAAATATTCTCAACCATCTAACGTTAGCTTTCGATATTATCTTAACCGTCGTTGGCACATACACTTTCATTCTTACCCAATATTTCACATAGATAGCTCTACGTAGAGCCACATAGGAATGTAAATAATCTGTTCCTCGAAGAATACATGTACGTACACTCCCGTTCATAAATCAAAAAATGTAGTTTAGTGTAAGGAATCAATTAATAATATTTTGGTGACGGAAGAGAACCTCAAATCCCAAATCTCAAATCCCCAAATCTCGGAATCTCAAAATCTCAAAATCTCAAAATCTCAAATTTTCAAATCTCTAAAATCTAAAAGATTATATTAACTTAAACAAACGAATCAACGCAAAATTCATTTTTGAAAAAACTGAAAATGATAAGTGCCCATGACTTATGGAGGAGAGTGTAGCTGCCGAACCTTGGCTGGCGTCGTTCCGGTAAAATTGGGTTAGCGCTGCGAGCCGTGCGCGTATGAAAAGCTCCGGGGTTTACTTTCCCAGAAGAGCAAACATCCCTCTCACCGTTCTCTTCCGTTTGCAATACGGTGGACAATGGAGAAGTAAAGAGAAATTCCTATTTCCGACCGCGGTACGTCATCTATCCTCTCCAACATTGAACAGTTCGACCGCCTATAAGAACTACTTCTTTCTTTGACTTAGCCCTGATACAATTCTGATATCTTCAGTTCCTTTTGGTAACGCGAGGTACACGAGAGATAAGTACCTAAGCGGAACGTATAAGGGATTTCATGTCGGAAAGAGAATATTTTATTCTCGCGTCAGTCGAGCGAAGAAACGACGTAAAAGGATCCCGCATTTCGAGACGTGTTGCAATCTTTTCGTCACAAAAGGGATTCCTCGGGATATGTACAAAGTGCATATATCTTCTCTACCCGTTGCACTGATTTCCATTTTCAATGCAATTAACCCTTTCGCTATGAAAGAGTTGATTACTGTGTTGAAAAAAAATTAGTTAAAAATAAGAGCGTGCGGGTACCCTTAAATTTTTATATATTTATAAGTATAATTGGATATAATTGAGTTTCGGGTCTCGAGTTAATATTTGGGTCGTAAATACTCGAACAAATTGATGTCCTGGACAAACTTTCTGGATCCCGTCCAAATTCGAAAAAAATTTTTGATCCAAGCCCAACCTGAAATTTCTAGTACCCTCACACCACTAATTAAAACTGCTTGATAATTTCAAAGCAATTTCATTTATAACTGACAGTGAAAATAATTAATTGAAATTAATTTTATACACGCGTTGATAACTTTGTTTCAAAATATCTATGCAACCAGTGTACATCTATTAAATCAGGCGAACGTGGGGCGTCATCAAAGATTGCAGGAAATTGGCTGGTTTGAGTTTCAAAAGCTGAGACAACGACGAGTTAGGCAACCCGAGACACGATAGCTTCGGTAACGCAAATTCAGAAAGGAACGTAATTCTACGAAACAGGAATTCTCGTAATACAGTTTCACGGCGAACGCAGTCACAGTACGTCGAACGTAGGAGAAATTTAGCTGAGATTCAATACCGAGGAATAAATGTAAAATAAAATGGGCAAAGTGAATAACGGTCATCGATATAACGTGTACAATGTGGAACATTCTGAATCGTGGAACGATTCGAAGGGAAAGAAAAAATTAATTGGCCCCTATCGCGAATATCGAAGCAGAATTTACAACGAATATCCTAGAGGATCTTCGAGTATATTTATCCCTGAATGACTTTTTTCTTCGATAATCTTTGAATAAAAATCGGGAATAAAATGAAATTATTCCATTTGTAATTTTTGTTCGAAGATTATTTCAACAATTTAAAATCCATGGTTTAATTAATCAAAAGGTTACAATACGATTTCTAAATTTTGCATATAAATAATTATGTACTTAATTGAAACTGTAACAAAACTTGCTCGCATCCTTCAGAATTATTCTAGTAAATTGAAATTAATGACCATCTGTTACGTTCACTATTGTTCTGAACCATGTGTATAAATTCCTTGAGACAAAAGTAATGAGTTCCTTAAATGTTGCTTTCATCTATTGTCCTCGTGTATCTTCCTTTCATTTTTAACCAACCATGGGCAACTCGGGTGATTTATATCCACCACTAATTTTTTACTGTTCTTAGCTTCTAAAGGATTTGAGAAAATTTTATTAAAGCCCCACTTTTTCGAATCAAATGTTTAAAGGATTAACTGGGAAAAATAAATATTCGGAAAAAGTTGGAATTCGCTTCAGACATAAACGACCCAGATTACCCGCGAAGGGTTAATAGCTATTAGAGGTGGACGGATACTCCAAAATTCAGGTCGGAAATTTTGGACGAATTTTCGGGGTTCCGCCCGACCCAATCCGACCCGACCCGATCGAAGGTTCGAGTACCCAAATTTTTACACATCCCTAATTAATATAAAGATCAGTCTATCAAAAATTTGCTAACGATAATCAACACGCAAAGGATTCCCTGTTAGTTCCGCAGAAAGTGCTTCCTGTTCCGTTTTTAAGTCACGCCGATTCGCTAGCAAACACTTCGGGGCAAGGCGTAACGAAAACTTGCAGCAGTTTTCTGAATGGCGAAATGAAAACTGTCGCCGGCGAGGCCGAAAACAATCCGTTCTACGGTCCACAAAAGTCCGAGGTAACAATGGACGAGAGAGCCTCTAGCTAGATTCGGATGTCTTTGAACGCGACAGGACCGTGTGTTTGCATGTCCCAGTAAAAATCGTGCCGCACGAAACGAAGAGCAACCGCGAGTTAATCAGATTTGGCACGCCCGTACCGCTTCTATAACTGCGGATAAAACAGCTGGTTGAATCTGCAGTCACCAGGACAAAAAATAAGAATAATGTCCGGATGGTATGTCCAGCCTTTCCGATTCCAAACCACTGTGGCAATTACCGAATGAATGGCAATCTTTCTTCTCGTCGAATAAATTTCGTTGAATTACGACAATAATCGAGTGGTTGAATCGCGTTTAATCCCTTTTCGTTTCGTTCATCATGCAATTATTTTCGAAAGATATTTCATTCGATTTCAATAAAAATCGTGGAATTTCATTGATTTTAATTTGACAGTAATTTCGATTAATGAAGTGACGTTGAATGGCGTTAAGTTGAAACGAGGAAGATTTTGAAAACGGAAACTGATATTTTAATTTATTGTAAAAATTTCTCATTCGTTATTCCTTCATTTCAATTTTAATTATAATATCGTGTTACTGAATTCTACGAAATACTAAGAAATAAATGATAAAATTAAGAATCACAATTTACTTCGAATCGACTGCTTCTTTCAACTGATTTGTTGATTTCCATCGATTAAACTTTGTTCCGTTTGGTTCATGATACACCACTAGGAGCCTGTAAATTCCTGAAGCAACTTCTTTTATATTCCGTAGTAAACGTTCCTCCTTGCAACAGGTATTTCCTTTAACACGCTCGATTAATTTAACAAGTTCCTGCCCGACG